CTCCTCCCCCTCTCTACCCTTTTCCAGAAGTCAGTTCTGGATCCACTTGTGACTGTTTGATTATGAGGGAAATGAGTTTTTTTGCTCCGAATCGCAAGAGGAATCTAGAGGAAATGCAAAAACCGAACGTAAGTACCAGAACAATAGAGCGGCCAGTGATTGGCGCCAACAGGCTACAGGACATTTCAAATGAAGTGCTACGAGCCGGATCTGGTGCGAAAGATATTACTGAAGCAATGTACGCCAGAAAGAAGAGATGGGCTGGTCATGTGGCACGGATGTCAGACAACAGCTGGATGAAGCGGATAATGGAATGGTGTCCGCGCACAGTCAAGTGAACACTGGAGAGGCCACCAATGAGGTGGAGAGACCCGATGGTACGCCTGTACAGTATCGCGTGGACTCGGAGAGCGCAACAACAAATCGAATGAAGAAGTTGCCAGAGCTTCATCGGTGGCGTGACAACGGACGTCGATGACATACAGCTGCTCAAGTATTCAAGTAAATATGTAACAAAAAAATTTTAATTTTCATGACACATTATATTAGAAATAGGCAAACAACGGGCATATAAATAAGAGAGTCAACTTGTACGATCGAGATAAATAAAACTGGTTTTTCGAATCATAGCTCATCTTACAATTCTCTTTTCCCCGAACCTAAGCCTAGAACTACTACTGAAACCGGGATAAAGGCCCAGGTCTCTGATACTCCATGACTGACATGCTCGAACAACAGGCAACAAGATATCAATAAAATATTTGTGCGGGGTTTCAGATGCAGTTCCATACTTCTGTTGCAGGTTTTTTTTTTCAACATGAATACCGTTTGGGTCAACCTATTGCCTCTTAAAATAGTGATTCCCAAAAAAAAAAAAAAACATCCCCAAAACTGCTATCCAGTTCATTTTCAGGCGTTTCTACTTATATGCAAATGCAAAGACGCATATTGTGATGACCGTAGTGTGTGTGTGTGTGTGTATATATGTGTTTATGTGTGTGTGCGTGTGTGTGTGTGTGTGTGCGCGTGTGTGTGCACCTGTCTGTGAGTGCGTCTGTTCAGGTATTTCAACTCGGCAACCAAGCAAGCTACGGCGCCAAAATTTTTAGTGGCCGTGGTCAGAGGTGAAAAGTCAGCGACTAATATCATCTTTCTCTTTATAATTTAACGCATATTCTCATAAACCAAACTGAAAATAAGGGCAACAAAGCACCAGTGTCCTTATTTCCCTCAAAAATACATTTTTCAACAAAACTGCATAAATGCATAAAGATACTCAAAGAAGTCCCTGTCTTTTGAGGTCTTCATAGGTTCGTTTATTGACGACATTTCCCGCTGAATCCTCAAATTCCTCGTCAATTTCCGGATTCCATTTCAGTGTTTCCTTCTGTCGTCGAATTTTAGCCCAAAGCTCAACAGCGTCCGAAATTTTTGTAATATTCGCGAAATGTGCTGTATTTGGTATGCCAAGGCAGCGCATGCCGTGCGAATGGCGCCATTCCTAAATACGAAACAAACATTGTACGCTTTTCTAGATTTCATGAATCCTGAACAAGGGATAAAAAGCAAAGAGAAATAGAGGGGGAGAGGGGATATTTTTGAGGTAAATCACATTAAAATGAATGATATATTCCATATCTCTCCTGCCCAATTAAGCTTGGAAAATCTTTCATTTGGAAGTTGGAGGTGGAAGAAGGATTTTTGAAATCCAGTGAGATAGGGGATTCTAGGGTGGTCTCCAGGAAGACGGGGGAGGAGGGGGAGGAAGGGGCGAAGGGATTTGTCACCTTCCATTCTCCCTT